TATGAGCTTAATCAAATCTAAACAGTTTCAACCAGTAAAAAGGGAGACTTCTGAAGCAAATTAAGAGCTTCAGGCATCAAGCCTGCCCCCAAAACTGTACATGTGAAGCCCCATATCCCCAGTCCTGTTTGGAGCACCTGTCCGGGAGCTCCAGTAACGGGGCTCTGCATAAAGTGCTTGCTTGACTGCTGCGCCCTCACACTGCCTGTCGTTGAACTACATACGCTAAACTAAACACCAGCTGTGGGGCTAAATCCCTCAACCAGCTTTCAAAAAATCAGAAAAGATGCAACAGCATCAGGGACGGGGGTATAGCCAGGCTCAAGTCTGAGGCAAGCAGAGGCAGCCATGTACTGGATAACTAAGTTTCTGGATATCGACTTAAAAAAAAAAAAACAACAGTGCCGTGACTCCCGCAGTAGGAGAAATTTTAACAAAAACCAAACTGACCTCCCACCTAAAAAGGAACCCGTCTTACAGACCCCAGCAGAAAACACAGCCTCAGCTCTCAGAAAAGACTTGTGACAAAGAAATCAGGCACTTGGCAGCCATAGGCAGTCTTGAGCGAGAAACTGAACAAAGAAACCCAAACCCAATCTTAGTAGTTACACAGTATATTCTCTGTAGTGACGTTACGGACTCTCAAACACAGCTGGCAGAGGACGTTCCAGATGGATAAGAAATGTATTCATTCATGTACGAAACAATCTGTGCCACGTTTCATCCTCATAAAACAGCAGCTCAATAATATACAGTGAACCAAATGTAACAGAGACTACATCGTTTCTATGGGAAAGAGGGCAGAGTCGGGATGGAAAGTTAAATGTATAAATAGCAAAACATTCAAGCTTGTTACACAAGTACCTAAAGTGCCGTTATCAGGAGGGTGGCTGACGTAATACTACGGGATTCTGTGCTTAATCTTTTGTTATTCTCTTTCCATGTAAGATTTCTTAATCCCCTTCTGGCTTTTCGCTTCTCGTGGGTAGTACAGACTCCATCATTTATCCCTCTTCATACTAAAGTCTCACAGTTAAACAGTACTTTGCAGTTAAAGCCTCCCACCGCCTACTTAAAAAGTGCAGATGGAGTTTCTTTAAAGTAAAATGTTTTACCTGAATATATTAATTTAAATTATGGGGCACACCAAAATTAAGGTGTGTTCCTGGATTCTGAGGTCTACCAAAGAAAACAGCAGTGCTGCTTCGTTACAGCTCGTCTTCCGCTGAGAAGTGCTGTATTGAATTGTTTCACCACCTGCTATCAAATGCCAAAAAAAAATCCACAGAGGGAAACAAGTTTGCTTTTAAAAAAAAGAAAGGTATTACTGAAATTCTTGAATGCAGACTAAACAAGGCAGTAGCGATTGTGAGAAACACTCGTGGTACTGGGAGGATTTTCTGTTGCTGTTTCACATGGAGGAGTTAGCTGAAAAACTCATTCTGCTGTTCAAAACCAGGCGTTGGAAGCAAATGCGCTACAGCCAAAAGAATCAACTGCATTTCAAATCATACAATTTCCCTTCAGCCAAGCAAGACAGCACAATACTAGATCAAAAGAGAATTAAAACTAATTATAAAACCGTATTTTCCATCACATCTCTTCCAAAATCATGTAAACCAAGTTCTACTGTTTGCATCTTCGCTTTAAATGTGACTTAACTGTCAAAAAGGTTTCACTTCACCTGTCTCAAAGTCCTGCTACTCGTATCTCTTTCTAAAGCAGCCAGTCTTCTGCGCACGGATGAACAGCAGACTGAGCACAACCCAAGAGCGACAGACACCGAACAAGTCGGGGTGTTTACGGAGAGCGAACAGTCAGCCACCGATCAATACAATACTGTTGCCAGCCCCAGGGGCCGCGTGGTCTAAGTCAGGCTGCTGTAACATCTGCACATTCAGGAAGATATAATTAAGGGCACAGGTACTGTACAATACACGACAGAGGTAGATCGGCAAGTGATAGACTGCGTATTCCAACTCTGACTAATGGGCTGTCTTCTAAACACTCGCGGGTAGCACATCTTCCTTGTGCTAAAAGAAAAAGCATTAAAATGAAGTCCGGAGATGACTAATACTGCTTGCTAACCACACTGCCGTCAAAACACGGATGAGATTCATCCTGATGGCAGAATTCTGTTTATCGCGTCTTATCTTCTGGATAACGCGTGTCTTGAGCTGTATCCAGAAAATCCAGATTCCCAGCATAAGGTATGGTGTTGATCTGTGCTGGGAGAGTAATTTTGAGGTTTTTCTTTCCAAGGAAGAATTTTTCAGCTCACGGTCTGCAGAACTAGTTGGTGCTGATCTGTGCCAAGGCAATGGTCGTAAGGTGGCAGATTTTCTGGTTCTTCATGGATGTTAAAGAGTAAGAGTTCATTGCAATCAAGTCTGTCCAACACATCTTGTAGGATTCATATTAAACAACACCTGCTGCTTCCCTAATTCCCTTTTAAAGTAGCTGCTGTCTGAATCCTACTCAAAAAATAGGATTAAAGATGACCCACCTTATAAGATGTAGTGCAAGAAAAAGTTTGGGGTATGCTGCTCTAAGGTTTGTAGAAAAAAATCAGCATGTCATACAAGTGATATAAATAAAAAGCAATTTAACAGACGTTTAAGAGGTTACAGGAGTGAGGATGTATGTCTTTGCAGGCACTAGAAAAGGCAGTCTGAATTTCAGTAACATGCAGTTAAAACCGGCTTGCCTTTTTCAGTATCACTCACAAGATCAGTAAGGCAGTGAAACCAAAGCACCCATCGTTTTACATTATTTATGCGTCGAAGGAGATACACGTAAATTACATTCTTCAGGGTCTAACATAACCTAAAAGAAAGGCTGCTGGAAGGGTGGTAGAGGTGTGCGTGGTTTTGGTCATTTGGAATGAAGGAAGAAGCCAATTTGCCCAATTTTTCTTAAAGATAAAAACATCAACGACAAATGATATGTGAATGAAAAGCTAACCACAGCATAAAATTAAAACGAGCTGAGCTTTTCCGACTTTCTTTTTTTTAAATCCTGACAATTTAATTCAGCAAGATCTGGAAAAAAAAAAAACCAACAAAAAAAACCCACCCCATACACTTCCTAGTTGCAAATGTGTAGGAGAATCAACAAATTTCTTTAAAATATACCATTGTAGAGATGGTAGCAATTAGAAAGTATCTTTTCAGCACACTCTGGTTCCTGCAATTACAGGGAAACCAAACAGAGCCCCCAGATCCTCCAGTAACAAAACTAAGGCCACTAAAATAAAGGTTTTGTTCGTTTTCTTAAAAATAATACCACACCTAGCAGATGTCACAAGGGACGGTTGATAGGTCTCGTGGCTGCACTGCTCCTGTTACGGGAATCTTTCCCGAACTTATGA